CTAGCCGCCATGCCCGCTCCCGCTCCTGGTCACGCTCCCGCTCCCGCTCCCGGCGCTACTCACGGTCCCGCAGCCAAGGCCGGCGGCACTCAGGCGGGGGTTCCCGCGATGGACACCGCTACTCACGGTCGCCTGCCCGGCGCGGAGGTTATGGGCTTCGTCGCAGAAGCAGGTGCGTGCTTAAGGAGGCCCGGCTGTTGGCCTTACTCGGGAAGTCCTTGGTTTGAAGGGGTGGCACAGGTTGGTGCCCACTGTTTGCAGGGGACCCTGAGGCTACTGGGGAAGTAAAGTCCCTGGGCACTGGAACACCTTCTGGCCCCCTTGCCTTCTGGGACCTGACTGCTTTTAGACAAGGGCTTGGCCTGTAAGGTACAATGCAGAGCAGCTGCCTGGTGGGGGCAGGTGTGTCATCTGTGGGATCAATGTCACAGTGCTCAGCTTGAGTCCGTGGAGGGTGGGACAAGTAACTGCTGTAGAGGAAGGCCTGGCCCTGAGCGGGTTGGGTCCTCTTACTGTCATCTGTGTCCTGGTGTGGGTTGTAGTTTAACTGCCGGAGGGAGATGGCAGGTGGAGGGCCAGGTGTCCAATGCATGGCAGTATGTTCCCCGGGTGGGGCGTGACTGCCAGCAGCCCGACTGGTGCTCCCTCGCCTTCCACTCTCTCAAGGGAAGTTGAAAGTCAGGGATAGATAAGGTGGGGTCCTATGTATTCCAGGGTGGCTTTGAACTTGCTGTGTGGCTCAGGCTGGCCTTCAGTTCAAGATCCTTCTGCCTCAGCCTCCCAGCTGTTGAGATTATAGGTGTGTGCCGCTGTCTGCTGAGAGTCTGGAATTTTAAAGGGCAGATCTTGTCAGTGTTGACAACACGATAGTTTTGTGAAAACCCGAGATGGCCCAGGCAGTCAGCTACAGCCTGGATTTGGCTTCCAGGTCGTTCTCCAAGGCCTGACCAAAGTGGTGACAAGAGAAAGCTTGGGGGGAAGCCAGGCCTCGCTCAGGAAACCTGGGTCCTGTGCGGGGAGACGGTGGGGCTGCACGTGTACCACACGTGGGCCTGGTGAGGGCGGGGTGGTTCCTCCAGGGCTGAGATGCTGGGCAAGGTGAGGATGAGGGCACCTGGGACATGTGCTGCGCGCCCTGAGCTAGGCATGGCCGGCCAGGTCCTGCCCCAGGGGTCACCTCCTGGGA